TTTTATTAATGCTTCGAGGCAGGTTTAGACACTCGATTCTTGTATTTCTTGCGTTTTTCGCTTTTTTTTTCTGTTTTGTCTCTTCGGGCTGATCCGTTTCGATCAAAGCAAACAACTTAATTGGCTTTGTGCCATGTGATTGGACACGTCTTTAAAATACAGAAATACAGAATTACACCTTGGTTTTAGGGGTATACATTTAAAGTTTGAGTTAACCACGTGTATACTTTTTATTAATTAGTAGACATTTAAGCCTTTTTTATTAGCTTTTAAAAGTTATTTAAAGCATGTAACTTGGTTACAACATTTATATGCGAGGTAGGGGCACTTAAGTATACTAACCCAAGACAATTTTCCTTTTATTATGATGTCTCAGATATTGACCAATCGCCATAGTTACGCCTCTAGCATTACCCTATTTACATTACCCCTGTATTCACTCATTTTATCTTTTTATAAGCTAAAACAAGGCTGCTATATATATATAGAGGATTTATATCTTGCATATTTAAAGAAATTTGATTATTTGTAGCATTTAAAATGAATGTGCCAAGGAAAAGTGAGACTTTGTGCTTTTAATTATGTAACATACCGGACAAAACCCTAAAAATATTGATTAGTGATATATAATACGGAATTGGACTTCATTTGTTAAAATTTTCAGGGGTTTTGTCCAGTACTTTATGTAATTAAAAGCCGGTGTCTTATTTTCCCTCGACAGCATCCATATATAAATGCTGCCAAAGGAAATCTCGTATATCCAAAAGTAGATAATTATGAATTTCATAATGATCTATTTTTAGATATACGGGTTTTCCTTTGGCAGAACTTATATTTTTTTGGGTTACAGGCCAAAACCAAAATCCCGAAACTTAATTATCGCATTGTGTGATGTCGGTAATATAGTCCGCAGATTATAGTACAGTAAATCATTATCTGCGGACTTTAAATGTTATTTCACCGACATCACGCGATGCGAGAATTAAGATTCTGACTTGTAACCATATTTTTTTGGGTACAGTAAATTTGCGTAATTTTTTCTAAAATATTATACACCATAAACTGCTAACCAGTGTATCTCGATATTTACAACATCTAATAACGTGCCCGGGTGTTTTACCTGAGGTCTAGAGTAAATATTTAATATTGCCATGAAATCAAATTATACCTCTAAATCTACAAGTCAGCAGTTTTTTTTTGTAACAAAAATAATTTAAATTTTATTAATAAAATTTAGGTCTTTTTCTGACAACATAAATGACAAATTTGTAAAAAACGAATGTACGTATATCATATTGATTTATCGGTGCAATATTTTTGGCCGCCGCTGTAAATCTTTTATCAAATATAGTTAAACAAGCTTTTACAAGCGTTGTGCAAACTCAAAATGGAAACATCCTTATTTATTAAGTAAATTTTTTGTTACATCGATATGGTATGAAGCCGTCTCTAGCTGGAGTTATCACTCCAAGAGTTTAAAGTAACACTTGATTGAAATTAAGCTCTTTTAATTAGATCTTGCATGCGATAACAAGTAAGTTGACGGCACCCACGGGTTTATTATTAAATATCGAAAATTCAATATCAAATTCAAAATCAAATTCAAAATCCAAACCGCTTAATAATTTGACAATTACAGGAATAAGTTTTATCACTTATATCCTTTTATTCTTCCCGTGTTATGGAGGATTTTAGAAAAAGAAACTGTATAATGTAATATTCGTAAATATTGAGCGGTCGGAATTTTAAAGGATCTAGATTTTTGGTCACCATAATCACTGTAAAACGCGGAATATAGTATCCCCGCTTTAAAATGCCCCTATCGAAACATTTAATTGTGAAACATAAAACACCCAGGGTATATTCCATTTAAAGATTTTCATATATAACGTGTAGGGTTTTCCGATCAAATTTTAAGATCAAAAATAATATTAATGAATTTTGTATTTAGATTGGTGTTACATCCAACCCACGCGAAAATTGGTTAGTACTCGAGTATTAACTTAAAATGAACCATTCATGGGATGTTATAGTCCGCGTTGTCTACTGTATTTAGAATAATTATTTATTAATATAAACAAGCCAGCCTTGTTACTTTAAATTTGAAACAACGGTGTTTTTGGATAAATGCTCTTATGGGTTCATTTATTATATGGTACAACTTTACTCGTGATGCCCAGAATAATTCAATCTAATTTTTGTTAACGGAAAAAAGAAAATTTTAATGAGATTACGTGATAGGAATTCTTTCATTAATAAAATATATTGTTTTCAAAAAAAATAAGCTTTTTCGCGATTTTTCATTGTGGTACAAATTCCCTTATTTCATATAATTCATTAATTCACCTTATTAAGAATAGGATTGTAGTACGAATTTTAAAGATAATCAAGATGGTTTCTGTTCCGAATAATGAATGATATGATGTTAGAGAAATTATTTGCTAAAAAGGAAGGCCTTGAAGTGCATTTTAGGGCAATACCAATTTATAGTTATGTTATATCGGAATTAATGTCAAAAAACGGTAACCAATGAAAGTTATGACGCTCGGAATAGGTTGTCCACAATGCAATCTTTTTATCGTCAAATTGGCACGTTCTTTTTGTAACACTCCTTAGCTATTAAATACCATCGCGTTAATTTTCCGATTCCAACTCTAATAAGAACAGTAGTTCAAATATTTTAGAATCAACTATGTACAACCCATAAATCGCAAATTACAGTCCGTTGAAAAAAAAAAAAAAACACTTGTTCGTCCAAATTATTCAATTTTATTATTGAGAATAAAGAAATAGTCCGCCAAAAATAGAATTCTTTGAGTCTTTGTTATAATCTTTTGGAATTTTTAACTTGACTTCTTAGATAGGCAGCTTACCTTGAACGCGTTTATTTTCTTCTTCATGAGTTAATATATTATTGCGCAGCGAATTAGGTAATAATATATTTAGAAAGCCAATAACTAGACTTTCTTTAAAAATCTATCGGAACAAATTATGAATTGCAAAATTAATTAAGCACTTTATTTTCCCACGTTACGCATAAGGGAAAAAACCAATAAATACAATCTTTATTTCTTGGTTGAATGTTTGCCGCGAACTGTTCATCTCTCATAATTAACATCTTTCGTGCATATTAATTACATTTCATCTAAAAAAAAAATTATGACTTCCGACTTCCCTATCGCGGACCTAGCAAATAATTTGATCCGTAGACTAGACCGAACCAGAATTTTTCCCCCCTACCATAATAATCCAGAAGACCTCCTTCCTGTCCTTAATGCATCCAGAACATGTCATCCAAGAAGATCTCCGAACAGTTTTCTTCTCTGTCGTAAGAATGTTCACGAAGAGGCAAAGAGGAATGGAACATTCAACATGAGAATTGTTAGTAAGGTAACAGGAATTCTTTGGCGTGAAGCCACTGATAGGGAGAAACAATTTTATGATGACTTAGTAAGTAAACTTTGCACGTAAATTAATTAATTTTCAACATCGTAGATATTCTAACATTTCAAACTCTGAACTTTATATTTGTAGGCAAAACGATGCAATAGTCTTTACGTTGAACGATATCATTCCATATACGGGCGTCAATCCACAACTCATAGAAGGCCATTGGCACCTTATCAGGATCCTGTTCCACCACCACCTCCTCTTATGCAAGTACTTCAACCTGATTTACCTACAGAGTTCATAACGATGCAATTCGAACCTTTGTTTCTACAAAGTTTTCCTTATTATAATATCGGTCTTTATTCTCAAGATTTTAATCCGACATATGATTCGGATGATACGATGTTGTTTTTTCCAATAATCAGTAATAACCCTCTCGCTCTTGATTTTCAGAATATTTAAAAGCACGGATTTGATTATTTCTTCTCTTTCGTTAACCAATTCAAGCAAACATAAGTGAAAAGTTTTTTTTTTTTCTTTAAGAAAAAGTTATATGTAATTACGTTCAGAAATATATATGCTAACCGAATTTTTTGGTTTAATGTGGTTTAGATTTTTTTTATTCAAGAAAAAGTTATATATAATTCAGAAATATGCTAACCGAATTTTTGGTTTAATATGGTTTAAATTTTAATTTGTTATAATAATTATGATGTATGTTATTACTTAGGGGATTTTTTTATAATTAATAAACGTAAGCTCTATGTTCATTAAGCTTAAATAATAGATCAATTGTTTATCAAAAATGATGATTATAGAATTGTATTTATAAGATATTGTTCATATCATAAATAATTGACTATCGGGTGCCACTTTGAGGAATATAACGATCAATCATTTACATCAAGAGAATAAAAATTATTGAATATGTGTTGTTTACTATTCTTTTGGAGTACACGAGTTTTCAATAACGATAAGGATTTCGATAATTGGGATATTTGGTTGGAAGTGAATGGTTAGCATCTTTTAAGAATAATTTTAAGGCGATGATTGAACGAATTTACAATGTTTGCAAACGATTACGTTCGAGTCGGCCTGAATAGTGTTTTTAATCGGATAAGGTTTATTCGAATCTTTTCGAATAATTTTCAATTAATCGAATAAAATTTCTTATTCGAATATATTCGATTAATCAGAACTAGAGTTATTGGATGAAGCAGCCAATAAGTGTAATGATACAAATATCCATGTTGAATAAATTAATTAATAAAATCAGGAATTTTATTCGACTAAAAAACACTATATAGCTTTAAATAAACTTTAGAATTCGACGTATTTCGTGTTTTCCAAGTAATTGTATTCCACTTTTGGATTGATTATTTGTATTTTATTTCTTTCGTGTTATATATAAATCTTCTGACATTATCGTGAAACTCTAGCACGAGCCGAATGCGAACTTAGTCAACGAAATTATATAAATACTGTTGGGACCAACGGAATCATCGGTTTTCTAATATTCATTCTGCCGGATATGATCTAATCCCACTTGTAACAGTTGCCATTATTATTTTCTCGAACTGCGATCTATTATTTATAAAATCGGGGCTAGAGGTGCAGACATATTTTACGTAATAGGTCATAACTAGGTCGTAACTTACTTAAAAAATATTTTTTTAAGACCTTATTACGTAAATATGTCTGCACCTCTACAATTGTCATAGCATTATCCGTAATTAATACTTTTTTTGTTAAACAAATGGCTTGAAGATTAGACGATGGAATTTTTAGGTTGATGATGTTAGAACAGTTGATGAATTAGTACGTACGTACGTACAAGGCTTAAACTACTATAGTAATTTGCCGTCTTGCATCTTATTGTTTAAAATGATGCAACAAGCTAAATATTTAATTCATAGATCGAAAACATTAATATCTGATATATGGCGTACGTGTCAGTTTAACTGCGTGCATCTTCACGTGATGAAATGTTCAATCAGGGTGATTTACAAACTTGGATTCTCATTGAGATTTTTTTTTTGCCGAAACCGTTGTACATGACATAAAAAGTAGAAAATTATTTCTATTTATATAATTTTTCTCGTCATTATCGTTATGATTTTTTTTTAATCTAGCACAAACAATACGGTAATTTGTTTCCGAAGTTTACAAAATTCTAAAATTGATAAGAAATATTTTACTTACTGTAATAGGCTGGCTTCAATTCGTTGGGTATAATATGACAATTGAATTGATAAATTTTTTGCGCAACAATCACTACTATCGCGAAATCATTCATGGGAAGAAATTCGTCTGATTGGTTAACTTTTATATATCTACCTGTGATTTCTCGTGATTATTAACCAATCAAATTACATAATTTTTTAAAAAAATTTGTCCCCGTAACACGATAGAAAACAACGACTCAGAAAATATCCACTATAGTAGATGCCAACTTAAAGCCAACATATTTTTATATAGGTGTCAATTTTTTAGCTGTTGTGTAACATAATTAAAAATTTTGTTAATAAATTTAATTTGTTATATTGTTTTATAAATTATATGTAACTTTAAATGATATAAGTCTTTAAAAATATTTAAGATATTTAAATAATTTTTGTAGACTTGATAGTTTAACAAAAAGCTATTAAATATATAAAAAATCTTTTCTAGATTATTTTATTTTAAAGTTGATATCTTTTCGTGATAACAACTGTAGTAAAACGATTGCAAAAGAATGGAATATACGAATACCTACAAAGGCAACAAGATAGCTATTATGCCAATCTGGCATAAGGAAACGAATAAAATTACCAAAAAAGGAATAATTAACATTCGACCATTTGAAGATTGTTATGGAATAAAATAGAAAAATGTAGAATAATATGAAGATCATTGTTGGTAGCTCTCCCACAAACAATCCCCCCTTGTGATTTTTATCGAAATATCAGGTGTAACGAAAAATCAAAATAATCTTCTTTAGGGTTAGGATTAAGTTACGTTGGAGGAATTTTTTGTGGGAGATCTGAAATCACCAAATTACGCGTCAAAGAAACGAAAATCTAATACAACAAATAAAATTACAAAAAGAGGAATAATTAAAGTTCAACTATTTGAATACACAATACAAAATTATTCGTATTATGTTATCAGTTATCGAATAAAATAGAAAAATATAAGTTAGAATAATGTGAAGATCACCGTCAAAAGATGAAAAATCTAATTCAACAATAAGCGCTCCTGGAGTCTAAAGCCCATTAGTTTTTTATTACTAATTGACCTACAAACTAAAAGTCATGAGATAAATATAGCATACAATATAAAATATTGTGGCTTTAGACTATTCCCGATTCATTTCTTATCAGGCAGTTTATTTTGTTACATATGTCGAAATTAGGATACTCAGTAACTAGTCACGGTGTCTTCTTAATGTCAAAGACGGATTTGTTTCCTAATTTGAAACCCCATTTTTTTTCCTCATATGGAAACAATAAAAAATATTTCATAGCTGCGTGATTTTAAAATTTTATAAATATACGGGCTAAATCTCATCCCCAAAAAAGCAATTTGATCAAAAAATGTCTTCTCAATCTAACAATAACTCATCTAACGGCACGTCTGGCTCGTATTCTACTGGCACTAATTCCGAAGGGAACAGATGGTGCCACAGAGGCCCTTCTGAAGCTAATGGGGGTAGTTACTACTATGCAAACCGTGACTCCTCATATTATTACCAAAACAGTAATGGATCAACCTATTATAATAATGGTCGCGGAAATGTGGTATCTACACCACCTTCTAAAAATCCTAGAACCATTCGTTAAAGCTACTTCGGGAGGAACTTTTTTTGAAGAGAAAGGCCAAAGATAAAATAGAAACTTATCTTTTTGTGTGCTGTTCCTTTTTTTCTCTATTTTTCTTTTTTCTTTTTTTTTTTTTTTTTTACCTTTCAATATTTTTTTTATTTACCTTGCAACATTTTTTTCTTTTTATTTTAATATTTTCTTTGCAGCAGTTGTTTTTTCTTATTCAACTTTTGCCCGTTTTCAGTACCCCTTTAAAATACTCAGGTATTTTACACGACATTTTTTATATTGTCGCAAAATACTCCAGCACAATATACCTATTATCTAAAAAGATATCCCAAGTATTTTATAAGTTTTTCAGCGGGTATATTGCATTAGATCCTGGTTCTTCTATCCAGTGCACTATGACAATATGTTTAATTTCACACCGAATTTTATTTTAGTTTAGTAATTCATTTTAAGTTTTAATAAAGCATCTCGTGATTTAACATTCACTTTAATTGTTGTTTAAATAAGTTGATGCGTATACCAAAATTTTATAAGTTTATATGAGTGCCGCCAAAGAAAAACTCGCAAATCTTATTTAATAAGATTTGCGAATTTTCCCTTGGCGGCACTCATCTCGAGATAGTGTACAAAATATTTTTAAAAGGTAAAACATAGTATTTTTAAGATGTTTTGATTTCGACTTGTGTCCCACAAAAAATTATCAATGCATTGTTTTACCCTTAAAATTAAAATAAACACGGAACGGAATGTCAAGACAGCTATACCGCCAATGATGGCACCAATGATTAGACCAACGACTTTAGGGCTTGGAACTTCTGTATTACTTGAAGTTTGAGCACTTGGAATTATAGTATTTGGAGCAAATTCAGTAAACCAACGTTAGGAATCCTTGTAGTTTGTATCTAGAATAAATATTTTTTGATGAAAAACTAAATTCGACTGTTGGACAAATGAAGACTTAACAAGTTAAATATCGATATGTAAACAGAATAGAATAATTAAAAACATATAATTATCAACTAATATCGTAATGTATCCACTAAGATTTAGATTCTCAATTGAATTCAAAATATTTCATTAATACATTGCAATATCTAAAGTTCATAGATCACCATACATAGGAGTATTACACGTAGTAACATGAGAGTAATAGCCACCAAATATTAGGATACGTCCGTCTGGAGCTTTTAATTTTAACGATTAATAAAAGAAACTGTACTTCAAATATCTATTAATATTATTAAATAACGTACTTAATACTGCTGAGAAAAAAGCGAGAAGGAAGTTGACCAGACGTATTCTAATGAGATATCGGTTTTTTTATTCGCTGCTATATCATATAAGATATGCAGAAGTTTTATTTATTCGTTACATACCATAAAGTGACCATATAACAGATTATGTATTACTGTACATACATTAATGAATCAAAAGCTATACATTCAACACTTACAATGTCCATTGGCAGATATTTAATAAGATCAGGAGTGATTCCACCAATATATGAAATATCATCAGGCAAAGTTATTGCACAATAACCAGCCAGAGATGAAAGTGCATATGCTACACTGCTTAAACTCCATGTTAATGTTAATGTATTAAACTCCAAAAGTCATTTGCTTTGTTATTACCACTAAAAATGGCGATCAG